CGTACCCGCGAACAACCTGCAATCTCTCGCCTTCCCATGTGCCGAGCGACCCCAATCTTAATTATTTTCCCTCCCCCCACCCCCATCTGCAAACCATCCAAATTTCATCAATTTGCTGCTGCGAAGCCATCCAGGCCAACCCCTTCCAGTCGAGTCTATCCGTACGGATACCCGAATCGCGAATCCTCGTCTCCGTTCCAATTCATATCGCAGTGCGGCTCCCAATCGGGTCTTTCTGAAATAGACTGCTCATGGCATCATCGCGGAAGGGTTCCCAAGGGCCGGCGCAACGCGTTCGGTCCATTTTCGGATAGTGACAGATTTGACGGTCGAGGCCCTAAGAATTAAACGTCCCGTCGATTCAATACGGATACAGCAGGCAATGACTTGGCAACTTGGCCCGTGGATTTTCTCCATTTGGTGGATGGTTTTGCACGGCTCGGACAACTCTACTCGCTACTCAATCTATATACCACGCTGCTGATCATCGTCGATTCGCCTCAATCCCAGACCAGCCGTTTTCGACTTCGGTCAGCCGAAAGGGGATGATACTATCAGTGTCTCTCTTTCGGTCGATATCAAGAAACATATGGCGTCTTCCACGGACTCCCACGGAGTTGTTTCCGTGCAGCTACACCAGCTACGGATAGATGGCAGGAAAGGAACCCCTCTACAGAAACTGGATGGCCTATCATCAATTCGCGCCGAGTCGCCGCCTCTGCCACCAAACCCGTGACGCTGGTTCAGCCTGCATCGCCATCGTCATCGGCCCTCATCGGCCCTTCTGAACCCGCTCTGTTGTGCACTGTACTCTGGGCCACCTTGTTCCATCCGCTGCAGCACGATCAACACGAGCTGGTTGGCATTGCCCTACGGGTGCAGCGTCTTTCCCGAGTCCTGACTTGGGTTTGCGTGGTTGCCACTGAGGATTTTGCACGCTTCATACGGTGTACCCGCTAATACACGAGCACAGCCTGTTCTGGTGCCACTGTTTCCTGCCATCCGCCGCCTGCGCAGTATTACTCCGAATGAAACCCTCTGTCTGCCAGAAATCAAGATACATACGACAGAAGAGTTGCTATTTTTTGCACCACGAGAAAAACGGGCCGCCTTACGCGTCGTCACTCCTAACCGGACGACCCAGTTTGCACCGTCGCCTCCACCAAAGTGGCCAATTAGCTGCGCACTTGGCTACGCTCTCTCCTTTGCCGGCTGGTCCCAGAGGCCACAAACAGCTGCTGTCTTCCACGCTTGGTTACGCATTTGCCGCGATCCGAAAACAAAATACTTGCTTACCGCGCTTCTTCCAGAAGGTTGCCGCCCTGGGGAGGCTCAGCAGATCTTCAGCAATCGCCCTTATTGCTCCTACGTATTCGTACAACCGGCCACAGTCCCTTTCAGCGTCCTCAACGGTCATAGAACCACCTGGAGGCTGGAGCACTAAGAAGCCAGAGAGCCAATCCCATGTTCCATCCCGCTGGGATCGACGTCGACGAAAGACGGGAGGCGCTGCTTTCAAGCCAATGTCCTCTCTGGCTGGACAACTGCTTCGGGTACCCTGCGGTGCCTGCGACACCATGGTCCTAAAACGGACTGAAGGCTGGCTGAAAAGGGTCCGCCGTTCAATGGACTGTTACCCTGCAACAAATCATTTCTCGAGTCCATGCATCCTAGGGACCTAGACACCCCCAACTGACAGCGACGCTTCCCGATTCAGGGATTGTGCCGGCGCCGTTTGATTCCTTTCTGCTTCGACGAAACATGACGCGGATCCTGCTGCGAACCGCGGCCGATCAGCATTTCTCTGACAACAGACACGCATTCTTTGTTCCCCTTTCAAGCCATGGTGGCATGCACGCATGGTGGTGAAGCTCAACCGTCCAGCCACCCATCCCCAAACCACGGCGGGTGCTTGGAGCGGCAGCTGGCCCAGTCCATCAGACTTTCGGTTCGACGCCGTGAACCTTAGCCAACATACTTTCCAGCCTTCCACTGCATGCCCCGACAAGCGGGAAGCGCAGAGTCAAAAGTTGGGCAAAAGTCAATTGCGCCAGCTCTCCCCGGCCAGTCAAGACAAACATTTGGACTTGGCGATGAGCTTAATCGTCGAGAAATCGGAAATGTTTAGATGACGGCTGCACCAGCAAACCGGTCCCAACCGCGTGCGAATCGTGCAACGGACACAGAGTACACCCTGAAGCCCAGAATGAGGAAAAGAGAGAAAAATGGCGAGCATTACTGGACACGGTCGATCGACCTGCTCATCCCACCGCATCTGGAGAGCCCATTTAATGGACCCGACATGGCCTGACGGATCTGTTACCCATCAATTCAGCGCCAGTTTCCAGTGACCGTTTCCTTGGCGTGGGGATATCAGATGAAGAAGGGGTTGTGGGCAGTTGGAGTTTGGACTTTGCAGAGGCACACAGGCAAAAATAGGGGCCACTGGGGGTTCTGAACCGCCGGCGAAAGGCCGAAGCAAGCAACAAGAAGACTTAACCTCAGACGAAGGCCCAGAAAGCATTCTTGCTAAACGTCAAAAGGCGCAGAGAGACCTGCATATCCCAGGCCGTCTCATCGTCGTGGAGTCGATGACGTCCTCAGCACAACCTTGCGTACAAAATCCAGTCGTTAAGCTACTCCACCAGCTCATGGATCCGATCACCACGACTCACGAATTCCGCGCAGACTGAGAATTCTGAAATTTCGCTCAGCGAACCCGGCGACTCAGAACAGGGCATGAATCCCGCGATTCGAGCTTGCGGCTTTGGCGAGACAAGCAAAGTCTAGACAATCGTCACAAATGCGATGCACCGCCTTGCTGGGTATGGACTGGAATGTCGGAATCGATATCAAGAATAGACTGCCGGCGGGGGTAGTCTAACATACCTACCTCGAGGAATAGAGCATCTGGTACGGCGCCTAGCTCACATCTCAAAGCACCCGAGGACCAGCCATCCGTCCATTACCGCTGCTATTTTGGACCCAAGACAATCCGCACAATGAACGTCGTCTGAATTGCGTCAAAAGTTATCTGATGAACCCCTGCGGATCACCCAACTGATCCGTTTCACATCGCTTGAGGATCGCCCTGCTCGATATGGCTATTCCCTACAACAATATCCAGCCCGTTGGCCAACTTCCAACCAGTGACAAACACCATACACCATTCAGCGCTGGCGACGGCTCCGGATTGATTGTCACTGACCTAATGGATGCCATAATGCTAAACCTCTAACCACGCGGGACCGCACGGGAGCCGGCCGGCAGTTGGGCCGTGGGCCCCTGGACTACGCCGCACCATCGTCTGTCAATCGCTCTCCATACGGCCTGTCGGCTGCCATAGTGCAAGGGGTTATTTGGCGTATATCGCGATCTGCTTTCTTCCCTCCGCTTATCTCAGTGGCTCGATCAAGAACCGTATAGGGGTCGTAGCCTTGAGGCACTATTTCCGTTCGACCTCCGTTTGAATCCTTCTTGTCTGTTGTTGCGAGCGCGTCGGTGGCTCACAAGCAGAAGTTTGAAAGCATTCCTTCCAAAGTTCCAACAGATGCTGGACGTCCAAACCTACTCCTTCGAAAACTATCACTTTTCATCGACCCGACTTATTGATTGGGCCTCCATTTCTTTGCCCATCCCCGCACTTGGCCCGCCTGCATGATCTCCTGTGCTCACTGCGATGGCATGGCGGCTCTCAATCTGAGGAGGGCTCAGAACCAACCATTGCTTTTTTGCTTCCCTTGCCGGCCGCAACAGCAGCATATGTTTCTTTGCAATAGGACCATGCGTGCCCTTGGTTCGGGAAGGCCCTCCGAAGCCAACTAGGGCTAGCGTGCGGATGCAGCCAGCCAGACATGGCTTGCAATTGTGTCTGTGAAGCATCCGAAGCATGTGTACTTGAATGCAAGATGAAGCCGCGTACGATGAACGACTTGGCGGAAGCCAGTCAAAGCTCTTACTTGCTTTCTCCCTACGTCCTTATCAAATTGGGGGTTGCTGTTTCGCCAAGTTACCTCCCTAATTCGCACTCCAATATCTGTTCCAAGCGATGGGCAATTGGAAGATCTCGTTTTCTTCCTAGACCAAAAGGTCAAGAGTGAATGAACAGTCTTGCTCGTAGTCTGCTTTGCTTGCCTCTTCAGGTTTGCGATCTGTCGCACTTTCAACATACAAAGGTAAGGGAAAATGTGATATATACATGGGAGCGCAGCAAGCACGCAACAAACAGTCCACGGACTTCAACAGGCAGACATGTATCCCTCGTCCCACCCTCGTCCTGCAGCGGCCCCGGCCGTCATCTATTTCACCTTTTCTTTTTTCTGCTCTGTATGTGTAAGTGAGTATGTGTGTGTGTTTCTCTTCCCGTGTCTGAGTCTTCTCCCTCCCGTGCGCTTGTCAACTTTTTCTCCTTTTTCCATCTGGTGTGTGTAACTCGAATGCTTACTTTGGGGCAAGCAAAATCTATCTCGACGGCTGTGTGATCCCGGAGGATGTGTGGCCGGCAAGAGCCGAGGGCAAGGCGAGGCACGCTCTTAACAAGCGTGGCAGAGCAAAAGAAGTGCATCACACACTTACCCAAAGGAGTGGCGTGCAGGCTGCGTTCGGTTTGTTTTATCGGGCGACTGCGTGGCTTTTCTTCCGTTTCATTCTGGTGTTTCGAGGATGGGGAAGACCAACGATCTGTGAGGAGTTTTCTCTCCATGTTTCTATTCTGTTCTTTCCCTTGTGGACAGGGAAGGCGACTTAAACGTGATGATCGACGGGACGGAGGAGGTTCACGTAAGATTGAGGGGAAACGGAAGTGTCACGAATTGGTAAGTAACTATTGCAAATCTTCACTGTATGAGAAATTGATGTTGGTGGATATCTTGATCTGAATTCATCTATGCTAAGCTTAAGCATGCCAACCACTAAAAACGCCCATGGGGATATCTCTCTGGCCCTTTGCGAACACTCTTCTCTCCTATGCAAACCCATAATCATTTGCCCTTGCCACCTCTTTACTGGTAGTGGCCCTTGTGATCACCGACACCAGGCCGCGCCACACCGTCATCCACGTAACCCGGAAGCTGCTCCTCGCGGCTCAGACCACCCGAGGCGACGGGGCCACCCTGGCCGGGAGGGTGCGAACCTAGCGGGCCGCCGGCATCTTGATGGCCGTACTGCTGCTGCTGACCATAGGCTGGCTGCTGCTGGTGAGGGGGGATCGACCCGGGCGGGGCCTGCTGGCCGGGCGTCGCCTGGGGCAGGTGGACCTCGGGGAGAGCCTGCTGCTGCTCCGCGGTGCGGAGGGCCTCGTAAAGCGGGTGGGCGCCGGCGGGCCACATGCCGTTGGGACCCTGGGGCGGCACCTGGCCCTTGACGATCTGGTCCACGGTGACCTTTTGTCCGTAGAACGCGGCGTTGGCGTCCTTGCGCTCCGTGACGACGGTGCCGTCGACCTGGATGCCGGCGTAGAAGCCGCGGGACTTGACGTAGGAGAAGACGGGCTTGAGCGAGGTGCTGCTGCTCCTGCGCTTCTTATCCTTCTCGTCGGGCTTGAGCTTGCCGTCCTCGCCGGGTTTTGCGTCCGTGACGTGGTCGTTTGCGTTCTTGTCCTTGGGGTCGGGGTTCTTGCCGCCAAAGGAGGCGCCGACGTCCATGACGCCTCCGGCGCCGTAGGGGCCCGCCACGACGGCGACGTCAGGGCCGAGACTGACGCGGGTGGACATGAAGGCGGCGAGGGCGGCGGGGCTGTTGATGACGCAGACGCAGTCGTAGATGTCGACGCCGATCATGAAGCCGGCGCCGAGGGCGTGGACCTGGATGCCCGAGGGCGGGGACCAGGAGCCGTCGGGGAGGCGGGCAATGAGGATGCCGGAGCCGGTTGCGCCGGAGAACTGGAAGCCTACGCGGGCGGTGGTGAAGATGGCGAGGCCGACGGCCTTGTTGATGACCTTTGAGGGGATCTTGACGATGGCTTTGGGTTCCTTGCGCGCCTTTTCCTTGTTGGGCGTCGTGGGGCGCGAGCCGGTCGCTTCGGCGTGCTTGCCGGGCTCGAGGTGCTCGCCCGTCTGTGGGGGTACGTCGGATGTGATTCCCTCCTCTGTGAAATTGTGTGTTAGCCGAGTGCTCGATGGGGTTGTTTATGGTTGGGGGTGTGGTTTGAGGGGACTTACTGCAGAAGCTCTTGAGGATCTTGGCCGCCTTGTCGCACTCTCTATCCATGGTGGTGGGCAGGAAGCTCTGCGAGCCCATCTTATTGGCAAGGGCATTGATGGGCACAGCGGCCTTCATGCCCATCTGGGAGAGGCGCTCACCCCATCCGCGCTTCTCCTTGTGGCTGGGATCGGTAGCGGGCGCGATGTAGGCAGCGTGTGCGGCAGCCGGGTCGGTGTAAGGACCGCTCTGAGCGTGGCTCGGTGCTCCCGTGCCCGGAGGTCCCTCGAACTGCTGTTGTGAGTAGTGGTGGCCGGCGCCGTGGTCTGCGGGGTTGTAAGGAGCTTGCTGGCTCGGCGCCTGTGCGTACGACTGCTGCTGGGGAACGGAGCTGCCGGCGGCGTATTGCTGCTGCTGCTGCTGCTGCTGCTGGGGAGCATGTGTGAACTGCGGCTGGTTGGCGGGGGGAGGGCCCGGGGGCGGAGGAGGGAAGTGTTGCTGCTCGTGGCCGGGGCCGGCGGCGCTCTTCTGGTCCGGGTTGTACTGCTGCTGCTCATGGCCGGAGGTGTACTGGGGAGGCTGCTGTTGGTTGTTGTCGCCGGTGGGAGGGGGAGGGTAGAGCTGCTGCTCCGGTTGGATGGGAGGCTTCTCTGGGTTGGTTCCAGACATGATAAGAGGTGTCTTCCTGTCGATGACCGATCAGATTCGAGTTGATGAAATCAAGAACGTCGAAGTAGCAATGCAAGAAGGCGATGCAATTGCTATAGCTGGTAGCTTTTGGAAATGAGGGGTATCTTGGGATGGTAGCACGAAGGAGAAAAAGTGAACCGACGAGGAGAGAATCGCCGTGCGTTTGTTCCTTTTGTAGGTCTGGTGTTTGATGGAGCTTTACGGCAAGACCGATGGAAGTTTAATGAATTCTGCTGGGCGTAATGTGGCGTATACTGTCGTCAACGTGGATATCGTAGGCGTGTGAGGCTGAGCTCCTGGTAGCTTGTGGTCCAGAAAACGGGGTCAGGTGTAGATATTCTGCAGAGAGGCCTCTCAATGCAGATAGGGGAGAGTCATGTCATCGTTTGCCAGCTCACCACCACCAAGCCAAGCAGCAACAGCTCATACCTTGCACAGCGTGGGCGCCGTATGGTATGGGAGGGGAAACTTGGAGGGGCACGGCACCAGGGACACCAGGAAACGTCATGATGTGGCTGATGCACAGGGATGGCGGGAACCGACGGCACCGCTGCGGCAGAGGCGTGTGGCTGCGCAATTGGCTAACGCAGAGCGCCGGGGCCGACATTCCGACTCCTTACCAAAGATCTTTTTGATCGTATCCGTATTACCTAATACACTCCCACTCAAGTCACCTTACCTAAGCTGATACAGAGGTAGACGACCGTAGGTACTTCCTCACCTTACGTTAGTATCATAGTGCCCACGCCGTATTACCTAAGCAGTGCTAGGGCATGGGAGGCGTGGGAGGTCTCCATCTTTCTCTCTCTCCCCCACCTCTTTTCCCCCAACGACCCAACCTTATTCCCCAGCGGATGCGGGTACACACCCGGACACCATTGCCACGATCGCCAAGCTGTCACCTCGGTCGAATTTGAATTCGTTTGACAGCTTCGCATTCGCGATGACGGCCAAACTTACACTTGTCGCAACCTCTGACGTATCGGCCCTGCTGTCGTCATGCTAGAGGATATGCGCAGAAGTTGATTATCTGTCAGTCTGATCCGAACCAAGCCAAACGAAAAAGGAAACGGGGGTATACGAGTGACTAAATAAGCTGTCAATTGTCCGGACCTCGACGGACTTGGCCTTTTCGGCGAAAGAGATGCCCACCCACCAGTACCGTTGGATTGATTAGTCGGGAATCAACACTCGGTGATCGGACCCCGAACCACCATGGCTATTCCTGTTCCCGTCCTCGCCATGTCATTTCGTTGCAATATTGCGACAGTCGAGAAGCTTCCAGCACGAAGCTTATTAGACGACATGCTCGGTTTTTATGACATGTCGTTGCGTTTCCAGTTCGCACCGCCGGTTAATTAATCAGGCTGGTATCACCAGGGCGAGATGCGGAAATATGGTTGACTGGTCTCGGACCGGACCTCGCCAAGAGTGGGAATCCCGGACGTCTCCCAACCTGTCCGTCGACGTGGGAACTAGAAACGCGAACACAGGCACAGAGGGCAACCTGACACCGAGTCCCGTCTTACCAACGACCGAGCTATTGACACGAAAATAAGAAAGGGCTGACAATCAGCCACCAGAGAGTGATCCCGACGCCCTCCAACTCCGAATCACGCGCGTCAAATCCCCAACTACAAGCAAACTTTGGGAGGAAACAGAGCAGAGACGCCCCTGCCCTGCCTCGTCTCATCCTTTGTTTGTTCTCGCTGCCGGAATCTGATCTTCGGCACTCGCTGCAGCTGCTTGACCAAGCCGCTGGGTCTGATAGCGTTGCTTGTCGTCCTTTTGATTTTGCATTTTGCAGAAAGAAAAAAGTTTGATCAAGCTTGCGAGGCATAACACAGAGACGAACCTCTATTGCGGTAAAGCTCACGAGAATTCGCATCAACCTGACAAGGCGGCCTTTTAGCGTTTCCCGCAGACAGAAATCCGTTGGGACGAGTTATCCACTTCCCGGCGGAGTTGTCATCCACACACACCGAGACGATCCCGCCCCACGATCTTCCTGTCCTTTTTCTGAGGGCGGCCCTGTCTGGACTCTCTGTACGACAGACTTCTCCCCCCCGGCTGCCCGGGGGCGGATATTTGACTCGCGCCAACGAGCGTGACCATCGACCAGAAAGGGACAAGCCTTGCTCGATCTTCAATCCCATTCCCCGTATTGTCTGCTCTCTTCGGGGTCAGTAGACTGTCAGCAATCAATCAAGCAAGTGAAGAGAGTCGGCGCCAGTGCCTGCCTGTGTGTCGGAGCTCCGGCCGGTGAGCGACGGACAAAGGAATCCATCGCCCCACATTGGCGTTCTGTTTGCTGCCCTTGCGCAAAAGGTGGGCAAGCGTCTAGGAGAGGGTGAGAGAGTCGAGAACCGTGAGCGGGCGCAAGCGCAAGGTAGAGCTGGCCAACGCTCCCTTCTTCCCTCCTCCTCCTACTTCTCCTCCTGTCTCTGATTAGAGTAAAGAAGTGGCCGACCTTTTATCATTCTCCTCGGCTCCTCGTCTCCTCTCTTCCCTCCTGCTCTCGCGTTTATCTTCGCTCTTCGCCCTCTTCTCAAGCACCCGAATCCTCACTCTTCGGTCCCGAACAACCTAGCTCTTTTCTTTACCTTGCAGCACCGAGACTTCATCAAAGGAACGACTACTACTATACCACTACTCGCATACACATACACGCCTTAAGCGCCAAACAAGCGGCCCTACGTACCTACACAATGCCAAGCGCTACATCGCCGCCGCCGGGTCCTGACCCCACCCTCCACCTCCCGCGTATCCTCTGCCTCCACGGCGGCGGCGTCAACGCCTCCGTCTTCAAGGTCCAGTGCCGCGCCCTCATCTCCCGTCTCAAGAACAGCTTCCGTCTCGTCTTCGTCGACGGACCCTTCATGTGCGCCCCTCACCACGACATCGTCTCCGTCTATGGCGACTATGGTCCCTTCCGCCGCTGGCTCCGTTGGCTTCCTGAGCACCAGGCTGTAGACGCCGAGACGGCGTCCGCCGAGATTCACTTCCAGCTACGCATGGCAATGGACGACGACGACGCCATCGGCGCGACGGGGGAGTGGGTGGGGTTACTGGGATTCAGCCAGGGGGCCAAGATCAGTGCCAGCTTGATGTACACGCAACAACAGCTGAAGAAGAAGTACGGCAAGCGCATCACGTCGGCGGGCGGCTCAGCAGACTGGAAGTTTGGCGTGCTGCTCGCGGGCAGAGCGCCGTTGATTGTACTCGACGACAGGTTAGAAGTGCCGCAGGGTGTTGGCGACGCAGCTGAGGCGAGCGTCGAGTTCCATGACTGGCCGACAGGCCCTGGAACGGACCACGTCTTGAAGCTGCCGACGATTCACGTCCACGGCATGAAGGATGCTGGGTTAGACCATCACCGGGTGTTGCTCAAGCAGTATTGCCAACCGGGTACGACACGATTGGTCGAATGGGACGGTGCTCACCGCGTGCCTATCAAGACATGGGACGTGGAAGCGGTCGCAACACAGATTCTCGATCTCGGAAGGGATCTGGGAATCGTGAGGGAGGAGATTGAGGCATAGACTTTGGCGCGCGCTGCATAGCATTTTGGCGGAATTGTTTGAGTACCCATTTACGTTTTTTCCATTGGATATCTTGATGAAAGCATACATAGATCTTTTGAGAATACCAAAATCTGTAATTTTCCTGTTCAAACATATCGCACCCGCCAGTTCATCATCATGATTAGCGATGTGAACTTTTTGGGCACTCAGTCACGCGTGGTGTATACACCGGTCGACACGGCGTGGTACCCCTTCTTGCCAACCGCATGCGTCAGCTCGCTCCTCCAATCCTCCCCCCTCGCAAGCCTCTCGACAACTTTCTCCATCGTCCACTGAGGCCTCCATCCGAGCTCCCTGACCGCCTTGGAGGAATCGTACACCCGGTCCAACCTGTCGAGGAACCTCCATCCGAGCTTCTCAAACACGGCCGCGCACCCGGGCACAACCTCCGCGACAACGGCGCCCGCGTCCGAGTCCAAGCGGCGTAGGAGCGTCGAGCGGGCGGCCTCGCCGTCGTCGTTCGTGGCAGCAGCAGTAGCAGCAACAAAGGGCGGCGGCGCAGAGATAATATACTTCCCGAATCCGATCTTCCCGGCCTGTTCCATCCCGCACACCACGGCCGAGACGACGTCGGCAATGTCCACCCGCCGGTAGGCTAGCTCACAGACTTTGAGGTTCGCGTCGTCGGGCATGGCGGTGCGGCGGTTCTCGTCGTCGTCTGGTTCCGGGAAGAAGCGGGACGTGCGGAGGACGAGGACCGGCAAGGATGTCTGGCGTTGGACTAAACTGCAGAGGTCCTCTGCCGCGCATTTTGTTACGCCGTAGATGTTTTTGGGCAAGGGCGTGACGGATTCGGTTATCCAGGCTGCGGGTTGGCCTGGTGCTGGGGCTAAGGCGCGGCCAAAGGTTGAGGTTGTCGAGATGAAGAGGAATGATTTGATGCGGTTCTTATGGGCGGCTGCTTCTTCGAGGAGGACGAGAGTGCCGGTGATGTTTGTGTCGATGAAGGCTGATTTCGGGTGGGAGTCGACGTGGGGCTTGTGGAGGGTTGCCGCGTGGACGATGTGTGTTATGGACGAGTTGTCTGCGAGGATGGAGGCTATGAGGGCGCGGTCTGTGATGGAGCCGAGTGTTGTTGTCGTTGGGGAGGGGAGGATGTCGATGCCGTGGGGGACGTGGCCTAGGGACGGGAGGGAGAGCATTAGGGCTGCGCCGAGGTGGCCGGCGGAGCCTGTTACGAGGACGGTGTAGGGTGAGGCCATTGCTTTTAGGATGTCCAGAGGTTTTGGGTGAGTCTTGGGATTCAATGGGTGATGGTTTCGTGAGGTTTTGTTGATGTGGTGGATGAAGGTATTTAGAGTCTCAGTGTTAGTCGTAGTGGGGGTGAGTCATTGGTCCTTCGTTGAGTCTACGCCGAGCGGGAGGGGCGCACGACTAGCTGTTAGGGACATCTCA